TTACTTAAAAAAAAAAAAACATCAGTGCTTTGTTACTAAAAAAAACATCAATGCTTTGTTACTAAAAAAAACATCAATGCTTTGTTACTAAAAAAAACATCAGTGCTTTGATAAGCCCATAAAGTTTGTGTGATAACAGTAATTTATGAAATAGGAACCAAGCAACTTTGGGGGTGACCCAAACTTGATCAATAGCCATTCGTAAAATAGCGATTCTCTTTCCTTGGCCATGGATGAATACGGAAACTCGCAATCCCCTGCATTCTCCGACGACTCTTCAGCCTCTCAGACCACAACTATGGCGAAACCAGCGTACTGTGTTTGGCAGTGTGTGTGTGCATGTGAGAGAAAAAGAGAAAGAGAGAGAGACTTTACCTCTGGATAATTTAATGGGTGGAAGTTTGAATGAGCATCCAATAAGACAATATCTTTAGGAAATTATTGCGCATTTAATAGGGCAATATTCTCTATAATTAACAAAATAAAAAATCTGGTATATGTGTAAATAAGTATTCAAAATTTAGTAGAGTTGCAAATAAATATTTATTGGGTGTATAAATGTAATATAAAGTGTATTGAATGGTATGTGGTGCAAATTTCTCTAAATACATACACACCCACATGGGTGTGTGTGAAATGAATAGTAAAAAAGCCCATGTGGGCCGTGCCCACATGGACAGTATCGAATTTTCTGTTTGGTAGATATTAGTTTATAACTTATTTGAGTAACTTATAAGTTTTTGATATTGAAGTAAGTTTCGGTTGGTAAGACAAAAAAAACTCGAGCTTATCTCATAAGTTTATTTGAGTAGTTTTTCAAATAAACTTGTTGAAATTTTTATTTCAACTAGCTTGTCAGCTAATTAGTACGTACCCCGTGCGATGCACGGGACAGAAATATTGAATGAGTTATTTTCACATGCTTTGTCCGTTTAAGTGTATAAAGCAATATGATTATCATCTATTTTTCATCTCTTTTAATCAGCGTTAAGTATAATAAATAATAAGGTTATAATATATTTTGCACCCTTTTAATCAACGTTACTTTTTTAGTCAACATATTAAAATAATTAATATATTATTTCACTAACACCTTTATCCTTATTTAAATTTAATTTAGTATATATATTTATTCCTTCATATAAGAGAGAATAACAATTTTACTTATTCTTGTTGACCATATAATACTTAATTATTATTTTATTATATACTTTATGTCATATAATGTCATTATTATTTATAAAGTTATAGAAGTTGTACGTCTTCTTTTTATTTATATTTTATGTAATGAAAAATATTTAATGCACGTTGGTATTATTTATTTATGTAATCAATTTAAAATATGTAAATAAATTTAATATTAAATAGTATATAAATATTTTACAAAATATACACATGCTTTTAGAATTTAATTTTGTATACTAATTAAACAACTTTGATTTAGAAAATACCAAACCTTGATCCCCTCTATGATCAAGATTTTTCTAGTTCACATTATATGGATTTATGGTTTATTTAGCATACTGAGCAATGAAAATATATTTTACAAGAATTTAATTATAGAAATAAAAAATAAAAAAATATAATCATGGGTGCCAATAATATAAAAATATATTTTTTAAATAGTTAATATGTTTCAATTTTATTTTTTACCATTAGTAATACTATTTATTGTATCTAGTCATTATCTCTTAAATGGTAAATATATTAATTTGAAGAACGATTTATTTTTTATATTTAACAAAATAAAGCTTAAGAAACAAATATATTGACAAAGATTAATTCACCAACTGGATTTTGTCTGATTACTTGGGAAAAAAAATCCTATATAACCTGTTACGATTTTCCATAAATATTTTTGGATAAAAAGTGAATATTTGTGAAAAAAAAAATTAATATTATGGTTATGATATGGGATATTATATACTGGACCGGTGGTCGAGCAGAACCGGACACCGACCACATAGAACGTCGAGTAGATAGCGGCGGTTAAGGGAATCGCAAGTGGTCGACAGA